AGGGCCTTTCCTCTACATGGAGGTTATGAAATGACTAATAGCCAAGGATGGAATCATGCTCATGAACTCTTCCGACATTATTACATCAACAAAGAGGTACTGAACAAATAGCTGAGAAATGAAGATTTGTTTATTGAAACGGAAGCATTTATGCTAACAGCTCAGGAGCAGACTGTTGCCACCAAAAACCATATAAAGACTATTCTTAAGTAACCTTGACTTAGGGATGAAGGTAGACTATGAAAACAAATAGTGGAGACAATGTAACACATTACTATGGGTTGAAAAAAACAGAATTTTAAATAACTTAATAATATGTATTAGGAGTTAAAATATTTATTGAATAATTAATATCCTCTTTGATCTAATACCCTGATTTACTTTACAGAAAAACAATGAGATCATAGATCTAACTGGATGGGATCCCCCAGGATATTAAGTTTAAAATCCTCATTTTACAGATAAAGATACCAAGGATCAGAGAATTTTAGTGACTGGCTCAAGGTCATACAAGTAGCGGATGCTAAGTCCACCCCCTCAACACAGCACCAGACACAAGGGTTCCCCCTGCGTCTCAGGGCAACATCAGTGCAACACCAGATAAATAGGTAGGGCCTGCAGCCACTAGCACAAGAAGCCTGAGAGAGAGCCTCTTCTACCCTGGGAGCAGAGATCAAATTTAAAAGAAAGGAAAAATGCCCCAAAAAAGAGCAAGTAACAACAAAAAAAGAATCTGACCATAGGAAGTTTTGGTGACAGTGGAACACCAGGACATAAAACTCAAAAGTGGACCACAATATCAAAACACCTATGGCCAAAATTCCAAAGAAAAATGGTAAGTGGTCTCAAGTCCAGAAAGAACTCAAAGAGAAGCTTAAAAATCATATAAGAGAGATAGAAGAAAAATGGGGAGAAGAAATAAGAGTGATGCAAGAGAATTATGAAAAAGAGTCAACAGTTTGGAAAACTGCTTAAAAAGGAAAACTGGCCAAACGGAAAAAGAGATACATAAATCCACTGAAGAAAACAGCTCCTTAAAGAGTACAACTGAACAAATGCAAAAGAAAGTACAAAAGCTAATTGAGGAAAACAATACCTTAAAAGTTACAATTGGGCAAGTGGAAGCTAATGGCTCTATGAGACCTCAAGAATCAATCAAACAAAATTAAAAGGACGAAGAAATGGAAGAAAATGTTAAATAGTTCATGGGAAAAACAACTGACCTGAAAAATAAATCCGGGAAAGATAATATCAGAATCATTGGATCACCTGAAAGCCATAATCAAAAGGAGGACCTGGACAGCATCTTTCAAGAAATTATCAAGGAAAACTGCCCTGATGTCCTGGAACCAGAGGGCAAAACAGGCACTGAAAGAATCCACTGATCACCTCAGGAAAAATTAAATAAAAACTCCAAGGAACATTATAGCCAAATTTCAGAACTATCAGGTCAAGGAGAAAATACTACAAGTGGCTAGAAAGAAAGAACTCAAATATAGGGGAATCACAATCATGATTACACAAGACTTGGTAGCTACAACATTAAAGGATCAGAGGTCATAGAACATGATATTCTGGAAGGCAAAGGAGCTAGGATTACAACCAAGAATCACTTATCCAGCAAAATTAAGCATAATAAACCAAAGTAAAAAAAGTGGTCATTCAATGAAATAGGGGGGATTCAAACTTTCATAAGGAGACTAGAACTAAACCAAAAATATGACCTCTAATATCAAGACTCAAGAGAAGCATAAACAGATAAAAAGGGAAAAGAAAACATAAAGGATTCAGCTAAACTATTTACATCCCTACACAGGATGATGATATTAGTAGTTCTTAAAAACTGTATCACTAATAGTATAGCTAGAAGGAATATACACAGACAGAGGGTATGGGTATAAAGTGAATTTGAGGGAATGATATAAAAAAAATAAGGGGTGAGAAAGAGGAGTACAATGGGTACAGAAGGAAGGGAGAGATAAAATGGGGTAAATTATTCACACAAAGAGGCATGAAAGAATTATTACAGTGGAGGGGAAAATAGAAGGGTGGTGATTTGCGCATGGTTTGAACCTTACTCTAATCAGTATTCGCTCAAAGAAATTTCAAAAAAAATTGTGTATATTATTTCACAATCAGTTGAATATAGAAATCTATCTTACCTGACAGGGATGTAGGAGGGGAGGAGATCAAATAAAATGGGGGGCAGAGTCTGACAGAAGGGAGGGCAGATCAGGGCAGGTGGTAAACAGAAACAAAACACTGGTGAGGAGGGAAAAGGTGAAAGGAGAGAGAGGACAGACAGGAGGAAGAATAGGAAAGGAGGGAAATAAATAGGTAGTAATTATAACTGTAATGTGAATAAGATGAACTCTCCCATAAAACAGGCGGACAACAGAATGGATCAAAAACCAGAATCCTACAATATGTTATTTACAAGAAACACACTTGAAGCAGAGAGACACACACACACAGAGTAAAGGTAAGGGGCTGTAGCAGAATCTATCATGCTTCAGTTGAAGTAAAAAAAAGCAGAGATAGCAAGCCTGATCTCAGACAAAGTAAAAGCAGAAATACCATTAATTAAAAGAGATAAGAAAGAAAACTATATCTTGCTGAAAGGTACCATAGATAATGCAGCAATATCAATACTAAACATATATGCAACAAGTAGTATAGCATCCAGTTCTTAAAGGAGAAGTTAAGTAAGTTACAAGAAGAAATAGACAGCAAAACTATATTACTGGAGGACCTCAATTCAGAACTCAATAAATCCAACCTAAAAATAAACAATAAAGAAACTAAGGAGGTAAACAGAATACTAGAAAAGTTAGATATGACAGACCTTTGGATAAAACTTGATTGGAACAGAAAGGAATATACATTTTTTCTCAGCAGCACATGGCATCTACACAAAAACTGGCCATGTAATAAGGCACAAAACCCTCAAGATCAAATGTAAAAAGGCAGAAATATTAAATGTATTCTTTTCAAATCATAATGCAATAAAAATTACATTCAATAAATGGCAGTGGAAATATAAATTAAAATTAATTGGAAACTAAATAATCTAATCATAAAGAAGTAGTAGATCAAAGAACAAATCATAGAAACAATAATTTCATTAAAGAAAATGACAACAATGACACAACTGCAGCCAAAGCAGTACTTATGGGAAAATTTATTTCTCTAAATTCTCACATCAACAAAATGGAAAAAGAACAGATGAATGAATTGAACATGCAACTAAAAAAACTAGAAAAAGAACAAATTAAAAATCCCCAATTGAGCAGCAAACTAGAAATCCTGAAAGTCAAGCATAAGATTAATAAGATTGAAGGTTAAAAAATTGAGCTAATAAGTAAATCTAAAAGCTGGTTTTATAAAAAAGCCCAGTAAGATAGATAAGCCATTGGTTAATTTAATTTAAAAAAGAAAGAAGAAAACCATATATCCAGTCAAAAATGAAAAAGGTGAAATCACCACCAATGAAGGAAAAACTGAAGCAATCATTAGGAAATATTTTGCCCAATTACATGTCAATAAATCTGACAATCTGAGAGAAAAAGATGAACATTTACAAAAATATAAATTACCTAGATTAACAGATCAGGAAATAGAATGCTTAAATAACCTTAACTTAGAAGAAGAAACTGAACCAGTCATTAATGAACTCTCTAGGAAAAAATCCCCAGGGCCAGATGGGTTCACGAGTGAATTCTACTAAACATTTAAAGAATAATTAATTACAATACTATATAAAATATTTGGAAAAATAGGCAAAGAAGGTGTCCTACCAAACTCTTTTTATTGGTTGATGGAGTTGTGAACTGATCTAACCATTCTGGAGAGCAATTCACAACTATGCCCAAAGGGCAACCAAACTGGATATACCCTTTGACCCAGCAATACCACTACTAGGGTCTGTATCGCAAAGAGATCATAAAAAAGGAAAGGACCCACAAGTACAGAAATATTTATAGTAGCCCTTTTTGTGGTGGCAATTTTGAGGGGGGATTGGGGGGGATTGGGGGAGAATGGCTGAGCAGGTTGTGGTGTATGAATGTAATGGAATACTATTGTGCAAAAAGAAATAATTAACAGGCAGATTTCAGAAAAAACCTGGAAAGACTCGTATGGATTGAAGCAATGCGAAATGAGCAGAATCAGGAATACATTGTACACAGTGTATCAGCAATATTGTGTGATGGTCCACTATGAATGACTCAGCTCTTCTCAGCAACACAATGATCCATGACAAGTACAAAGGACTCACGAAGGAAGGAAAATGCTGTCCATATCCAAGTAAAGAACTGATGGACTCTGAATGCAGATCGAAACATATTTTTCCCCACTTACTTTATTCTTCCCCATGTTTTTTTTCTTTTGATCTGTTTCTTCTTTCACAATTATGACTAACAGAAATATTTTTATATGACAGCACATGTATAAACTATATCAAAATACCTACCATTTTCAGAAGAAGGGAGGGGAGGTAGGGAGGGAGATAAAATTGGAACTCAAAATCTTGTAAAAATGAATGTTAAAAAAATTTTCTTGACATGCAATAAAATACTATTAAAAAATAAAAAATAATAATACACAGTTTCACAGAAATGTCATGAATAAAGTACTTTGTAAACCATAAAGTGCTATATATCAGTGAGTTATTATTATGAACTATATTTTAACTACTTATTATTCCTAATACTTATTCCCTTATTATCACCAAATGAATAGACTTCTCTTTCAATTAATTAAACTTTTACAGAGTTCCACTCTATGCAAGGTAATATAAAATACACCAGGTACACCAAGCATATATGCTGTTACAGGAGACACATTAACCATCTTAACCACGTGGCTTTCAGTACATATAAACCTTTCTACTCAACTGTATTCCATCATTCTAAAAGAGATTTAAGATCCACTGCACTGTGTACATTTGGATCTGTGTATGGTACCTCGTACCCACTAAAGGTTCATCTTCATCATCTTACCTATAGAATTGCCTTCCAGGTAAACCAAGGGGATCAATGAAAGCTCTTTCCAACAGCATCAACTGATCGTTCACAATTCTCACTGCAATTGGGCTGTAAGGAAGAAAAAAAAAGTAATCATCTTTACCACCAAAATATTTCAAAGGGATTTAAAAAAAAAGGCAAGACCTAATTAAGCTTAAATGAGGTGAATAATATATCATGTGTCCAGCACAATACCTTACTGGCAAAGTTATCATCACTATGCAACAAATTCATTCTCAATATCACCTTTTAAGTTATTAGATGACATATAAAAGTTCACCCAGTAATTCATAGCCCAAAGTTTGTAAATCACAAACCTCATGCTACAGTGAGAGACTCTACAAATAGACATGGATCCAAAGAACTATCGATTAATTCCAATCATTCTTAGAATGTAAGATCCTAAAGTTTCATCATCCATCCATATTGTGTCCTGGGTCTTCAGGCTCCACCATTTAACTGCTTTATCAATATACATTGACAGATTTTGTTATTCCACAGATCAGACTCTTTCATAAAAAGGTTTGGTGCCCTGGCATTTTAAACTTACTTATTAAAGTCAATGTGTGCAAGTCTTCTATGAAAATCTGCAGCAGCATCTGTGAAGTTTCTCACAGCAGAAAATAAGGAATCTTTAAAAGGAAAAAGAAGTACAGGTTTTTGGAAGAGTAATGTCAGAGGAAGAGCCAATACTCTTCAAAGTGCTTTACATTTCAGAGGCTCACTTGCCTATCTATCTCTCCCCTTTCCAGATGGTCCTAAAAAAATTCTTTTTTCCCCCCATTTTTTAGCTGACAGTGCCTGCGGAATCATGGAGGTGATTAGCAAATGTCTTTAGCAAGTAGGTGTTGTATGAAAATGGAACAGTATTAAAATTTGTTTTTGAGAGTATAGCAGCCAAGAATCTTAGAAAGCCTGTAAATGGTAGGAAAAAACCACGGCTCAGGCAGTAACAGGGACATACACCCACAGAGATTATCTAAACTGCAGCACTGCTCAAACTCTGCATAAAGATAAAAGTGAAGCCTTTCATAATCTGCCTTCACCCCTACCTTTGTAGGCTTATTAATCACTATTACCCCTTTCATTCCAGTCAAACTAGTCAACTTAACTGTTCCACTTCCTTTTTTTGGTGCCCTTTCACAGGGCACATGCTGGTCCCCATGCCTGGAATGCACCCCTTCCTCACATCTACCTCTTAGAATTCCTAGCTTCTTTCAAAACTCGACTCAAGTGACTTTTTCTACATGAGGCCTTTCTTGAAAGAACACCTCAGCTGCTAGTGCTCTGCCCCTTCTCCCCAAACTACTTTGTATTTAGTTTGTATGTAAGTTTCATTACATAGAGGTAAGCATTTGTTTCTAAGAACCTAGGATAATACCTGGCACAAAGTAAGTAAAAGCTTGTCAACTGATTGATGATGTGAACTGAAAAAGATTACAAATCAGAACCTCACCTAAATGGCAATCTATGGCAAAACTGGCATGCCTGGAAAACTAAAAATCCAGGTTAATGGTGTTGGCCTCACTGTGGTAAAATTAGAGAATTTTCTTCAGACTTCAAAGTTTTCCAGGAAAGAGAACATGTCTTCATTATGCTGTTGATGGTCATCCAATTGAGACCATTTTTTTCTCATGAATTCCCTCTTCTCCTGTGCTGGATCCTCTGATCCCCATTCACTTCCTTCCTGCAGTCTTTTGATGAGGTGTGGCCCTTCCTTCTTTTCAAGACCAAACCCTCAATTGACCCTCTTATCTTCTCAAGTAGACTGTACTCCCAATAATCCGCCCTCCCTCTCAAAAGCCTTCACTAGACCCTACTCTCTCTCTCTAAAGTTACCAAGAATCTCTTAACTGCCAGATCTGATGGTCTTTTCTTGGTCTTCATTCTTCTCGGCCTCTTTGCTACATTTGACACTGTCTGCCATCCTCTCCTGGATATTCCTGCCTTTCTGGGTTATTGTGACATTACTCTCTCCTGGAAAATTACTTCCTGTATGAAGCATAAAGGTATACTGCAGTAGGAGGTTTCTGCCAGGCAAGTCAGACTATTACTACCACCTTGACCACCACCTCCTTAGAGACAGCTCAGTACCCCAAACCCAAGCACCTTCAGAATAGAAGAAGGTCTGTTCTTCCTGGACCTCCAGTCTTACTTCTGTCCCATCCCGACAGCCATCCAGGGAAGCAACTCCTAGAAATCCCTCCAAGTACTGACTGATTGTCATCTATGGGGAAGCCCAACTAACCTAGATGAATTAGCAAGGAGCCATGAGTGAGAGATAGGAGGCAGTTTGTGCCAGGCAAGTCAAACTATCACTACCAATTCAACCACCACCTCTCCTCAGACCACAATAGAGATACCCTAAGATCCCAAACTCAAAAGTCTTTGTAATGTCTCCCAAAACTATCAGTCCTGATTCCAGGCCATTCTCCATATTAGAGGGAGAAATCCCTGTGAAGAAAGGTCCCATGTTCCCACCTCTACTAACTGATGATATTTGGCACCAATTGGCAGATAAACCCAAGAACTGTGGGAGTGGCAGGATACCCCAGGCCACTGGCCCTGCTTCCAGCCCAACTCTCAGAGCCATCACTCTGGGAAGCAATCCTCATAGAGATATAACCTGACAGCTAACTGCCTTCATGAGTTCTGCAGGTATCGCTACTGAAGACCCAGAAAAGAAAGTTTGCCCCTAAGTTCTTGACACTGTTAAGTGAATCAACATTAGAAAATGATGATTTTATCAGTGAACCTGAAATCAGAGACAATATAGTATCATCTGTTTTGCCTCTGCACCCTAAGGACTATGGGACTTTCCCATCCAATTAACAGCTTAAACTTCCTGTATCATTAGAATTTGAGCTCCTTAAATCAGAAACTTTCTTACTTTTCTATTTGTATCCTCAGTGCTTATTAGCACAGTGCTTTGCACATAGTGTCAATTCAATAAACAATTTTTATTCATTCATTCTTGGTTTCCCTCCTATCTGTCTAACCACTTTGTTTTCTTTGCTGTATCATCATTTGTAAAATTCTCCCAATAGTATAAGTATCCTAAGGCTCTGTCATTGGCTCAGTTTTCTCTATGCACTTTCTTGGTGACTTCATTGTTTCTCATGGGTTTAAAATAACTCGCAGATCTATATGTCCAATCCAAGTCTCTCTCCTAAGCTCCAGTCCCATAGATCCAGTGTCAATGTCGGAGTGGATGTCCCCATGACATCTCAAACTTAATGTGTCCAAAAAAAGAGAAATCATTATCTCTCCCCACTCTGTTTTACCAAACTTCCCATAGCTCTGTTGAGGACACTATCATTCTACTCCTCCAGGTTTATCATCCTTTCTCTATATACTGAATCTTTTGCCAAACACTACTGCTTCTTACTTCCCAACATCTCTTACATCTCATTCCTTCTTTTTAACAAGGCCACCACTTTAGTCCAAATTCTCATTACATCTCTCCTGGACTTTTTAAATTATTTTCTAGTTGGTCTCCCTGATTCAATATCTGTCAATTCCAATCTATCCTTTACACAGCTGCCAAAGTGATTCTTCTTAAATACAGATCTGACCATGTAACTCCTCTACTCAATAAACTTCAGTGGTAGTGGTTTCCCTATTGCTTCTAGGATAAAAATATAAACTCCTTTGTTTGTCTTTTTAAGGTCTCAACAATCTGATCCCAACCTATCTTTACAACTTTATTACATTATTTCTGGTACTACATTTAGAGTCTAAACAAACTGATTTCTTCCACTCCTCACCTGACACTTCATTTTTCTTCCTTATAGTTTTGCACTATTTGTGTCCCATGCTTGTAATGTACACCCACAGCTCAAGAACCACTTTTACAGAAAGTATCTCTTAAGCCACTCCCTCAACCACCAATACTCTCCTTCCCTATCTTCCATTGATTTGTATTTGCTCTCCACACTACTTAGATATATACATTTATCTCCCCTAACAGAATGTACATTCCTTGACAGCAGGAACTGTTTAACTTTTTTTAGTCTTTGTAAGTCCACTGCTTAGTAGAGTTCCTGGCTCTAGTGGGCACTTAAATAAGAGCTTGTCAATTACTGATTAACTGAAGTACAGCATCAGGATACTAACCAATGAAAATGGTTGTGGTGATATGTAGACATGGACACACACAAATTATGTGTAAGTGCATGCTATATGCACATATATACATGTACACATATGTAAATGCATAAATATGCATATATGTATATCTACCTGACATTGAGGAGAACACATTTTTTTTTGCTTTATTAAAAATACGTGGGCAAAATTATACTTGGATCAGGATAAATATTTGGCAAAACGCATCCCACCCCCTTTTGCCCTCTTACTTCTGTTTTACTTCTTCATACATCAATCAGCCATAAGACATTTGTAAGAATGACTAATAAGAACATTGTGAAGAGGTGAATATATGTAGCCAAATCAATGATAATAATAAACAATTGCATTGTTGGACGCATTAAGTCATACAGTTCCTGAAGACTCAATGAGGTTTGAAACCTACAACCTGTTTAACCCAACTTCAACATCTCTAAACCTGTTTCCTCACATGCAAAATTGGATAATCAGATTCCTTATTCCACAGGGTCATTATGAAGTTGAAATAAGACTATTAATGCAAAGCACTTCGCTAAAAGTAAATAACTATAAATATGCTAAGTTATTATTTTATTATTATTGACACAATTCAAAAACATCTTTAAGCATTATAGAAATGAACATTCCTTCTTTAAAATCATTAGGTACCATGCTAACTATATGTTTCTCATTTTTCACTCCCACCCCATTCCCATACCTATATCTGAATCATAAGAATTTACTTTGAAGCAGTAGTTTCTAAATCATTTCACCTTATCTGAGTCAGGAAGCAGATTATTTATTCATCTTACATTTAAGTTCACCAACTTTTCGCTATGGCATGGCTTATTCCTTAACAGTAGCAGTCACTGACCATGGAAAATCATAACGTTCTACCAGCTAGAGTTGAAGAGGATCCCTAAGGGCTTAACTAGTCTAATGCCTTCATTTTACAGGTGAGGAAACTGAGGTCCTAGAAAGGGGAAAGAGCTTGTTAAGTCACACAAGTAGCAAATTGGAAGTGCTGGGATTAAAAATCAAGTTTTTGACTCCTAATCCCAAAGCTTTTCTACCACTCCACACATCCGGTACCCTGTAAAGTAGAGGATTCAAGCATCTATCTGGATACCTCTTTGCATATCAAGTGGGCACTCTACCATCTAAACATATTCTCCATATGGCATGACTGCTATAAAAAAAAGCCAAAGTCTTCCAAAAACTATAGTTAGTAATCTTACATGGAATTAAAAATAGTAATGTAGAACAGAATTAAGAATTATCATGTATTTTAAAAAGTGAACAGGGACTCACATGTTCAGGGTATAAAATAATCATCCTTGCCTCAAATAAATATGGCTTCAGCAAAGCTTTGTTCTTAATAAATATGTAAAATAATACCAGTAATATCAATTTTGTAGCTTTTCAAAGTTATATTAATATCCTCTTTAAATCTTTTTGCAATGACTAAAAACTCTACTGTAAACCTTGAAAATACTGATTATAGGTATTATAGACGTAGCTCAGTTTTCATTCTTTACAAGGGGAGTGATGTAAGAAAGATATTTACCTACCTGATGTTTCCAGCACTTACCCACCCAAGAAGAAACATACTACATATGTAGTTTGTTTATCAATTCTAAAGAATGAACCAATTTGGTTATGGAAATCTCATCATTTACATCAGATCTTATCACATATTTATAAACAGGCAAATTTTGGAAGAGCAAGCAAATTGGAAGAGCAGGCAAATTTTAATTAGTAATCCTCATGGATATTTGTCCAGGTATCCTCAATTGCTGCCTCTTGAAATAAGCAGAATTCAGTTTGGAATTTAATTTCTTCGACAGACATTTCTTGGCCAAATTTATTTTTAGGAATAAGTCCAACTTAATATTAAAACAAATAACTGAATAACAATGATTATTGGAAGTAATTATCAAATTTTTATGAAAGAAGGTGATTTTTTAAGTTGACAATAAATGTCAACTAGTACTTACCAAATGATACTCTATGGTCTTTCAATTGTTGGTCATGTTTCTTGGATAAATTATAGATACTGGTAGCATAGTTCTCTAAAGCTTTTGCATAGTCTTGAATATTGAAAGGAATGATTCTGGAATCTGCAAGTTCATATACTAGTCCTCCTCGTGGCTACAGCAAGTTGTTTCTTAAAGGTAGAGTCATAAAACTGGTCGACCAGCTCAAAAGTCTCATAAATAGTGTGGTAAACTGGGTAGCTACTGAACTTGTCTGTTTTCTAGGGTGGGGGGGGGGAACATAGACATATGTTAAATACTTTAAGTGAAAACAAAATTAAGCAATTGTGAAAAAAATTACATCCATATGTCACTGTAGCCTTCTCCACAGTAAAGTGAAAACATTAAATAATTGAGGCAAACAAAATAAAATAAAACGAAAACAAACAAAAAAAACCTTCCTAACAGTTGGTCCAAAAGTGGAATGGGTAATGGGTTGGTGATGAGTTTCTTCTCCCTAGATAAATTTAAGAAAACACTGTAAAACATCTGAATGGATTTCTTGCTCAGATAACTGGTTGGAGTAAATGGTTGCTTGAGGGTTCTTTACCAACTCTGACATTCTGTGATTCTGTATATTTTTCAATATCCTGGTATATGTTTGTATTTATATTATGCTGCATATACTTCTATATTTACTTATCTCTCTCATTAGAACATAATCTCTTTGTAAGTAGAAATTATTCTATCCTTTGTACTTGTATTTTCAATTCCTGGATCTAATAGTCACTTATTAATATTTGATGACTGATTTTATGAAATCTTAATGCTCTAAAACTCCACAAACCAAATGTACAATAATTTCAAAATGCCTCAGACCTTATTTTACAAACTTTACGGATCACAAAAATTCTGCTTACACAAAATTTTAAATATTTCTCAAGCATTTTTGGTAACTGGTTTCACAAAATAAGTTGTACTTTAATATAATTCACATATAAAATAATTAAGATTTTCAAAATGTTTTCCTCAACCACAAACTGAGATAGACATTACAAATGTGATTATCCTCATACAACAATACTACTAGTAACTAATTCTATGTGGCACTTTAAAATTTGCCAATATCTCATTTGATCCCCCCATCAGGATCAATTAAAGGAACTAGAAATGTTTAGCCTAGAGAAGCTTGAGACGGGAGATGATAGATATCTTCAAGCATTTGAAGGACTGGCTCTTAGAAGAGGGAACAGTTTTATTTTATTTGGTTCCAGATGGCAAAATTAGGATCAATGGGTAGAAATCGCAAAGAAGTCAATTTAGCCTTGATATAAGGGAAATTGTTCTAACAACTAGAGCTGTCTAAAAGTGAAATGGGCCACCTTGGGAAGTAGTGTGTTCCTCCAAACTGGAAGTCTTTAAGCAAAGGACAGATGATTGATCACTTTTTGGGGATACTGTAGAGGAGATTTCTCTTCAGATATAGATTTGACTAATTAGGCTCTGAAATTCCTTCAAACCCTGATAGTAGATAGTAGACAGATAGAAGATTTAGTAGATAGTAGATAGTAGAACTATGTATGCATTGTTTTCCTCACTACTACAGCACTAGCTTATTTCAGATGCAATAATTCACAAGGCATGAAATAACACCTCATAGGCTCTAGAACTTACAGAAGAGTGGAACCAGTAAATCTGTTCACCCAGTATAGGTCATCAAAAGTGGCAGCATTTGCTTAATTGACCTATATACACACAAACACATATACATCTGTATGTATATATATGTATAATGTATGTATACTATAGATAGGTGTTTATATACACGTGTAGGTATATAATTTATTATATATTATTACTCATTTTACTATATATTAAAATATTATTCAGATACATATAAGAATAAAATTCTTACTCTAGATAATAAAATGGCTTACCCTGTTCTTAGTATAACGGGCTCTACCTGAAGCAATTCCCAGCCTCTGAAAATAAGCTTCAAAATCACTCCCAGATCCCAGTTTATTTATTCTATACATAAAAAAAATCAATATAAAGTCAACTTCCCACAATAACTCATAGCCCAAGTCTACCAAAACTCTATTTCTGATAGGAGACAGATGAATATTCTAAAAGAATTTAATTTTTGGATGAAAATAGAACTGTTTTACATTTAATATAATCATGAGAGGTTCAACCTCAGGCAACTCTCTAAAACATTATAGACAATTTGCTAATCTATATCCATGGTAAGAGTTGTCATGCTAGGAGTTTCTGTTACTGATGAAATCACAGGACTAGACGAAAACCACAATTCACAGGTAAGTATTCTTTTCCCCATAAAATGTTAGAGAATTTCAGTCCTGATAAAACTAAACGCATCTTATTTTCATTTTAGTAATACAGCCAATATTGGTGAGTTTTTGTTTTTTACCTTATTAAGAAAGAAAATAGCTGAAGGCAGATTTAGTCACACTACTCAAATCTGCTAGAAAATCCAAATGAAGAAGAGGGAATGAAACTAAACTTTCTGATATAGCTTTTGCAAGCTTAGGAACCTCTTGTCCTACCTGCTGGTCCTAGAAGTGAACACATAATGAAGAAAAATGCCATAAAATGAATAAAGGGAGATAGCTATAGGGAAAAAAAGAAATGAAATATTTCTGAATTGTAGTTAAAGAAATACCAAAATTAATGAGCCATTATCTAGCTTTTATGCTGTTATTACATATCAGGATGAAAATCAGTGATGAATATATATAAAATCATCCTAAAATAAATGGGCAACTTGACATTGGTTTTGCCATATACTCGCTCTCCTACTCAACAGTTTAGATTAGAATCTAGGGCAGAGACAGGGAAAACTAGGGTTAGAGTTGGGTTTTTTTTTGTTTTATTAATGTATTTTGTTATTACATTATAAACATTTACAGATTACTTCCACCTGATAAGATGTATCTTGTAACAAAGTAAAAACAGGTAAAACTAATAATTTAGTGATCTCATCTGAAAGTGCAACCAACATTTCACATATGTAGCACCTCTCACCTCAACACAAAAAAAATTTTTCTCTCCCTCCTAACCCCCATCCCAATAAAAGAAAAAAAGAAAAACGAGTTTCTTGGAAGTTATATTTTTCAGACCATCAAGGAGCAAGTGAAATCCACTGCTCATTTTCTAGTACATACAAGACATATGTTTAAAAAATTTACCTAGGAATATTGTTATCTTCAGGCGAAGGGTCCTTTTTCAACCAGCTTTCATAAAGAGATTTGCTTTCAAAACCATCATCAGGGCTGTCAATCTGGAAAGGTAAAATAGATATTAGGAAATCAGAAGCAAAAGTATAATTAATTGTGCTGCTACAAAAAATGTGTCTATCCTTATATATGCCTACGGGTAGTTAGGTGGCACAGTGGATAGAGTACTGGGCCTGGAGTCAGGAAGACTCATCTTGAATTCAAATCTGGCCTCAGACACTAGCTCTATGATCCTGGGCAAATCGCTTACCTCTGTTTGCCTCAGTTTTCTAATCTGTAAAATGAGCAAGAGAAGGAAATGGCACACCCTTCTAGTATCTTTGCCAAGAAAACCTCAAATGCGGTCACAAACAGTGAAATATGACTGAAAAAATGACTAAACAATAATAAGACATACATATTTACATGTTAAATTGAATTGTTAAAAGTTATTAAGAAATAACATTTTATAAATTAGATTCCATAAATCTTTATGTAAATGTGTCTATTTCTGTATGCATTCCAACTTAATATTGTAAATTAAGGCTCATTTGTAGATAAGTGCCTGTTTGCAAGTATGTAAAAAGTTATCTCCCAGGTGGTGGTTTTTACCATATTATTGTTAAAGATGGAAGTCTTTTTTTTAAAGCATTTTTTAAAAGACTTGCAAAATTTTAAAAATATTTTTGGCATTTTGTCTGTTCTTTAACTAAAAACTTTGGCAAAATTTGTACTTTGGTAACTTTTGCCTAAAAGGATATGAGGCAGTCTTAAGAAGGCTAGACATGATACATGTTAGGGAAGCTTATTTAGTGACTTACAACAATAAGCTCATAGCCAAAGTCCACCAAAACACTATTGCTGACTAGAGATGAAGTTCATTTTCTTAGAGAATGTAATTAATTTTTAGATGAAAACAGAACTATTTGAGTTTAATATAATCACAAGAGGTTTAACCTCTCAGTATCCCAAGAACCCTCTCAGTCTATAAGTTACAGAGAAGTTGCCAATCTCTATCAATGATAACAGTTGCCATGCTGAGAATTTCTTTTACTGATGAAATCACAGGATTAGGCAAAAACCACAATCCAGTTTTCTCAATGACATATTCTGGAATAAACTAAACCCGCACATTTGTTCCTTTGCTGGAGGGAGAAAGAAAAACTGTCTGGACGTGTGGCTATAGGAAATGTTTACCAATATGATGCCTCACCTAATTTTTTTGGTTTTATCAAGAGCCTTCACTCTGGTCCAGACTGACAAGCCTAATTCTGTTCTGACTTTCCCTATCTCTTTGAAATTAGCCAAATTTTACTTTTAAACACAGAACTTTAAAGTGGGAAGGGGATTTAGAGATTACTTGACAAAATCCTCTGAATTTGCAGGGAAGATTCTAAGGCCCAAAGAGATTAAAAGACTTGCCTAATTATTTTGTGAAAGGTAGAACTAGAAGCAAGTCTACTAACTCCTGGGCCTTCCTCTTCTACGACATCACACTTTCAATACACTGTCACCAGTCTTTTACATATTGCGCTGGATGTAAGGGGGTAGGAAAAAACATAATTAATGACAGGAAAAAAAATGGTGCCTAAACTAAGTGAAACAATGCAACGTAATAGTAAGATCCAACAGTCTAGAGCCCTTAGTTCAAGTCCTGACTATCTGTCCACCCATAGGCAGATAACTTTCCTTCTTGGGCCTCAGTTTTATCAGCTGTAAGTAAAGAGCTGGACTAGATAATCTCTAAGATCTCTTCTGACTTTTACTCTCAATGAATCAACGAGTCTATAACTTAGGCTAATGGGGGACACTGAATTACAGATCCCTGAATTACGTTATTTTTTTCCCCTACCTCTCTTACTCCCTTTCACTACTATATGCCTACTCTTTATGGAAACTGTTATGTTCAATTTAAGTACTTTAAGAATATGGTTATCAGTCTTTAGCTTTTAAACTTACGAATTTGAAATCATAAAATTACATAAATTTAGAGGGAAAGGGACCTTAAGAGATCATTTAACCCAACACTGTTATCTTCAGATGAAGAATCAATCTTGAGAGGTGAACTGAATGCTCAAGATGACAGACAGTACCAGAGACCAGGATTCAAACCTAGAGACTCTTGCTCCAAATTCAAAGAACTTTCTGCTAGGACCACAATACATGAGTGCAACCTATTTTGTTTCTTAGTTACATTTAAATATTTAATTTTTTTTTTTACTCTTTAATTGGGTGCTTAGAATGTCAGAAAGAAATTTCCTCCACGGCAAAGTTTTTGAAGGCAACAAACTAAGAGAATAAGCACAAATGTTCTATGAGATGAAGAGGGGCAAAGATTGCCTGATACAGTAGACTTAGCAGATTCTAAACTGTTTTTGGCAAGTCCCATAATCTCCCTGGGCCTGTTTCCTTGTGCAAAATGGATATAAAAAAAGCTCCCTTACCTACTTCAAAAGGTTGTTGTAAATTTCAAATAGGCATGCTGTGAATGTGTCTGAATCACCCTATGCTCTCAAAATGTTGAGAACCTACAGAATTCTTTCCATAGGATTCTCTTTGGAATGTACCTCCCAGAAGTCTCTGCATTAGATCCATGGTGTGTCTTTCAAAATAATTAAATCTCCAAGAACAAGGTATTTGGTAGCTCAAAATTTCACCAAAAAAACTCAAAATTGTTTCAACACCTCAGTTTATAAAGTTACCTTGTAGAACATAAAATTATCCATAATGCCATGAACAAAGAAATAAAAGAAAGGTGAAGTCCTATATCTGTACCCCTCCCCCCCAACTCTGCCCTGCTCTGCCCAGGAAAAAAATAAATAAAACAAGGTCAAGAAAAAAAAAACGAAGAGAGAAGTTGTAATCTGGATGATGAATAGCTTCCTGGTTCAAGAAGCTGACCAAGAGGTCCTAAGGTCACAAAATTTTATCACGAGTTGGAAGGAATTTTAGGCCACCTAATCCAATCTCATTTTATAAATTAAGGAATTAAGAACCTAATGATCTAAGAAGTAAAGCAACTCACCCAAAGTCACACAGGTACCTGAGACAAGGTTGAGATTTTAATTTATATCTTATAACCTTAAGTTATACCACAACCTGTTTTTCCTTCACTTTTTTCTCCCACATTGATAACAAACTCTTCTACCCCAAGAGGCAGAATGAAAGACACAAAATAAGTGAAGCCCATCACATCTTTGGAAATTATATGTGAAAGGAACCTTTCTCATTTACTGAGGAACACATTTATATGTCAACCATTACAATTAATATGAAGTTTCAGTGGCAGTCTTAATGGTCTGGTCCCCTTTTGAAATGAATGCAAATGGAAAAATTAAAAGGTAAAAATCTTTTCAGATGAAAATCTCACAGATATGCAGATACTTTTCAAGCCTGACAACAAAACTATGAAAGATTGCTTCTCAGATAAAGATGACAATAGAGAAAATAATTTCAGAGAACTAGATTAATTTTTTTTTATTTTCCTTATCAAGAAAAATATATAGTAGAAGCAGAGATGAAGCAACAGTGTACAAAATGATGACAGAGAGAGAGAGAGACAGACAGACAGACAGACAGACACTGGTTGTAGTTTCCCAAACAAAGATATTCAGTGACATTTCCCTATAATAAAAGTTTGTGAAAAATGAACTCCAGAGCATGAAGAACAAAATATCCAAATGACAATAAAGTACTTAACTTTAGTTAAAAGAAACATATATTGAGAGTTCATAGCATTATTATGTAAGATTTCTAAACATGTTTATGATATCTAGAACTCTTAAATATTTGAGTCATTAAGTGGACAATCTCACCAAACTAAAAATAATTAAATGGATAACAAATGGAGAGAAACCTGTCATCCTTTCTCCGAAAATTTTTACAGTGGAATGTGTATCATCAGGTCAGGCCTCTTCTGCCATGTGTTCTTGCTAGGGCACATCCCCCTTCTGGGGCTATACCTACCCTGGGCCCCTTTTGTTGACACATTTACCCTGGCACTTTCCAGTAGGTCCCTTAATTTTAAAAAAAAAAAACAACTCAACCAAAGACTTCTGATTAGTCCTCCTAAGCTGCCTTCCCTCTACTGTCACTTCAACATGTTTGGGTGTGAGGGAGTGAAAGTCAGGGTCTGTATCAAAGGGGACTGGACAATGAGGAGTAAGGGCTGGCCACTCAGTGGACTTTAAATGGACAAATGATTGCACTTTCACTCTTCTTCTATTTTGATTAGGTGGCTTTGAACTTGGACAGATGTCTTTTAGATTTCCCAATGGTGGAGAACCCTATATCCCTACCCCCACCCTCTACCCTGCTATGGAAAATGTTTATACATGGTAGCAAGAGCATGTGTTCATCTAGGTGAAACTGATACTGAATTTATCTCTTCTACTCTGTGTTTCTTTCCTTCAACACAAGTGACTGAACCACAATCCCAAGATAGACATTTCCAGTCTTGCCATCTACTTTATGGTCTTGAGATGTGTATCTAGGGTCACTAGGAAATCCAGGTCATTGGCATCAGAAGGTACTCCCTGTAGCTACTATAATGCTTCTTAGAGAAGATGACCAATGCCTGGAGGATAAGGTCTGATGTTACAGTGTAAAGCTCTGGTGCAGATGAAATGTTTGCTTAGCAGTTCCACAAAATATTATATGTTTCAATGTTTTAAGTGTCTACCTCCCATTAAGTTTTAAAAGTCATTGTAAGAGCAATCTGGAATTATAGCTCAAAGAGTTATAAAACTGTACATAGCCTTTGACCCAGCAACATCAATATTAGGTGTGTTTCCCAAGGTGATCAGGGGAAAAGGAAAAGAATCCATATGTTCTAAAATATTTATAGCAACTCTCTTTGTGGTGGCAAAGAACTGGAAAGTGAGGGGATGCCCATCAATTGGGAAATGGCTAAACAAGTTGTGGCATATGATTGTGATGGAATGAATACTACTGTACTGTAAGAAATGATGAGCAGGTTCATTTTAGAAAAACAAGGAAAGACATGAATTAATGAAGTGTGAAATGAGCAGAACCAAGAGAACATTGTAGACGTAATAGCAATGTT